CGTAACGCACTACTAAATAATAAATGAAAAATAAAAAAAGTTTGGCCCGCTTGAGATTCGAGCGCGGGTCTCGGAATACATAGTGCGTGGCCTTAACCGCTGAGATAAGATAGGGAGTTTGGTTAGTTTGCTTTTCTTTTTTATTTGTTAATAGAAATAATGTAGTTAGTTTATATTCTAAAATAAGACAAAAATTTGTGTCTTGATTATTTAATTCTATGATAATTAATTAATGGTCTATAATTATTAAATAATAGTGTTTGTGAACATCATTTCAATATTTGATTACATAGTGAATAATTTAATTATAGAGATGCGCATAAAATATAAATTAGATATTCAGTGCGAATTTCTGATACAACGTCTAAATAATGATTACATATTTAATAATAATCTAACTATCTTCATCGGGTCCAACAGTGATGGCCTCATCATGATCACACCGGACGTAAGCAAGTTGTCACCCTCTTTAAGGATAGGTAAGGGTACATTCGCCCCAAATGCAGGCATTTCCTGATAGCTTATGTAGTCTTCTTTGTCCATCACTCCATCGACACCGATAATCTTCCTTTTTTCTTTTAGGACTACTTTTAGCTTTCCTTTTATCTTGTTGTCCCCTACATAGAAGATTTGAATAACATCTTTTGTAAGGATGAAGGGGTCATCTCTGTATGTGGTCTTGGTGAGATCAACGGTAGTGAACCCTTCTTTATCGGTGGTCATTTCCTCGAGCTGGACCCACTGGTAGCGAAAAAGAGCTTCCTTCAACCGATCGTAGTCTAGTTCCCATATCCCCTCTATGAAACCATAGTATATCGCCTGCACATTGCTGTTTTTGTCGTGAGCATCGAAACAAACACCACTGTTTTGGTATGTGCTCTTTCCATTTTGCTTTTTTGTGTAAAATGTAAATCCATTGATCCCATACCCTTTGTACGTAAGCAAAGTACTCGAAGGTTCCTTGGCTAAGATATCCAGCTGATTACCCAACGTTGTTCCAATCAAGCGGCATCGCAACCAGCTAACAAATTTCTCCTTATGTTTTTTATCAAGCCAAGCATGCGACCTGCTCGGATACAAAGTTTGTAGTGATTGCCTATGCTTGTCAATGTATGGCATCACATCCTCTGCTTACTGGAGAATAGCGAACTGTGCCTGTCTGAAAGAAACATGGTCGTCTACTATAATAGATTTCTCCCCGATCGTTCCTTTGTCATCTAGTCTTTCCTCGTGATGAGATTCTAGAACTCCTACCCTATTGATATCTAGATAATATATGCGGAACTCAATGGCCTCCTCCATTGACCATCCTTCAACCATACCCCCTTCTGGCCTAAATGAGTTCCTAACATACATACTGAAAACTTTCATCAACCTTTCAAAAGGGAACATCTGATGCAGGTATATTGGGCCAAGGGCTCTAATTTGATCAACAAGATGAACGAGCAGATGCACCGAGATATCAAAGTAAGTCAGCGGAAAATGAATCTCAAGCCTAACGAGAGTTTTGGCTATGTCCCACTACAGCTAGTCCAGCATGGACACATCAATGACCTTTTTTGAGATCATGTTGAAGAACGAGCATAGCTTTATGATTGGGGTGCTGACCTTTGGGGGGAGGATACCACGCAGGGCAATAGGGAGCAGCTGAGTCATAATGACATGACAATCATAGGCCTTCATACTGCCATAGTTGAACTTGAGTTCTCTCATGTTCACTAGCCTCTTAGGGTTCGCATAGTAGCCCGTCGGGACTTTGAGTTCATTGAAGAAAGAAATAAGAGCACGCTTTTCTTCCTTCTTTAAGGTCCAAACCTAACCAGAAGTTTGAACTGCCCATCCTCTAGAGCCATGGGATGCAGCTCCTTCCTGATTCCTAAGTGTTGCATGTCTAGGGTGTGGCTATTGAACCCTTTGATGTCCCTCAGTGGCCATCATGGTGTTAAGCATGTTACCGCACACGTTTTTAGTAATGTGCATGGGATCAAGATAGTGGGGTACACTCAGCACTGCCCAATAAGGTAGTTTCTAGAAAATTGATTTTTTTTTCTTCCAGGCGCTCCCATCAGGCGCTGCTACTGTATTGTCCTTCATCCCAAGGACAACCTCTAGTTTGTTGACTTCTTGAAGTATCACCAGTCTGTCTCAATATTTTGGAGGTAAGCATTTCTCAATAGTCCCATTAAAATCTTTTATGTTCCTATAGTAAGGGTGATCCTTAGGTAGAAACCTACGGTGTACCATATAAACTATCTTTGAGTTTTTGGCAGATATACCACATCGGTGTCGTCCAAGCACTCGACACATCCAGTATAGCCTTTTGTCTTCTCTTTGGACAAGCAACCTCAACTGGTAGGTTGGTGATTGTAGCGATAAGTACTGCCTTAATCGTTATATGTTCTTTTTGTACTTGTTTCAAACATCCTCCACACTCTTTTCAAACATCTCTACTAGTTCATTGATCACTGATTCTAGAAACACATCGATGTTATTTCCAAGTTGTCTTGGCCCTTGGATTAGTAGTGGTATTTGGATGTACGACCGCTTCATATAGAGCCAAGGTGGAAGGTTGTATATACAGAGCGTCACTAGCCAGGTGCTATGATTGCTTCTAACCTGGTCAAAAGGATTTCATCCCATCTGTGCTCAAACCAAACCAAATGTGCCTTATCTCTCCACCGATGTTTTTATAGAACATAGTATTGACTGTCTTCAGTCCTTCTCATCGGCGGGGTGCCTCATCATTATATCTTACGCTCTTCGACATACTAGCACAACAGCTTGGCTGACTTTGCACATGCAAACAACCTATGCACCTGAAAGAGCTATAGAGAAATACCAAACGACCTTCATGAGACCTCCTCTGGTCTTGGTACCCTCATCTGACGGCCCTTCCTTGTACCGTGGAGCTTCACACTTGGGGCGCGCATCCAAGTCTTTGTATTCATCTCCACGGCACAATATGCAATCATTAGAACACGCGTTGATTTTTTTAACCTCGAGGCTGATGGGGAGATCATTTGCTTGGTCAGGTATGTCTTTTCTGGCAACTTATTTTTTTCGGAAACATTTTCCTTTTTATACCTAACAACTGATCGAAGCCTTTATCGCTCAATCCATTTGTCGATTTGAACTCTAACAACATGATGTCGGCCTTCAATTTGCTCATTGAACAATTCTTAATAGCATAGATGCATCCACTCTCGATCCACTTGTGAAAAAAATATTGAAATGGTAATTATAGAAAAATTAATAAGAAGTCGAGCTTCATGAACAATAATTATAGCTCGAAAGTACCATTTATTCTACACTTATTTAATTTAGTCACCCCATTTTTGGAAAACATTATTGTACACTGATTATTGAAAAATTAAAATTGATAGCCCCGGCCATATAAATTGAAAATCGTAGCCCCATAAAAAACAATTATTGCACAATAATGAAGAACAATTATTCTACTCGATGCCACATAAAAATGGAGACACTAATTTTAAAAAACGATAAGAACTAGGAATTAGATGGGAGTGTACATTATTGTCTACTAAATGTTTTCAGATTTCTTGATAGTCATAGTTCTAAAATTATGATCTTTGTCGTGTCCAAAACGATAAGAACTAGGAATTAGATGGGAGTGTAAGAAAGAGAGAAAATTTGAAAAAAAAGGACATTCCCATTTGGTGGGGATTTTGTTCTTTGGTTTTGACATTGTCCCTGGTTTTATTGGGCTCACATATCGGTCCAAAGTCAGGGGCCTGCATTGGCCCAAGGCCAAGATTTTGTTGCCTAGAACGTTAAATCGCAGCCCAAGCTTGGCCCAAGCTGCAACTGCAACCCAAACCTCCGCTAGTTCGTCGCGACGGCGGCGTGGGTACATCTCGTCACTTCTCGATACTTGTCTTCCTTACTATCGGGCCGGTACATAGTCTGATGGCAGGCACCGCCGTCGGCCCGTCGCATCGCCGCCCCAAGCGATTTGGCGGGCTATACCATCAGTTGCTTTCGCTTGCAAATTTGCTGCAGAATCATTTCGTCGGCTTTCTTAGGAATTTTTTCTTGAGCTAGAGCTTGTGGCCTTGTGGCTGTGGGTCGCAAACGAATTCTGTAATATAAACCTAATGACTAATAAAGTAATAAACTCTTTCAGCCTAGCTAGGCTTCCTGAAGATGGTAAGTGTGTAACACCTTTGCGCTCTTCTTACATAATAAAAAACATGCCACGGCACGGTCCCGACTCTCGAAAATATAAAGGCTGGATGTGACTTTGGTTTGTAACATTTGCGTTCTCTTACTAGACTTCGAGTTTAGTATAACACAGAAGATTGCACTTACTTTTCTTGTTCTTTTTTAGTGTAGCTGTGGGCTGTGGCTTTATTATCTTTCGAATTCTTAAAGCCCAAATACTAACTTTATCATTATATTATAATAATAACTTCATCGCTCATGATATCGTTGTTGTGGAACAAATGTGCCAGCAGCATCCACACACACAAAGTGTAGTGGAGCTTTTATCTTTTTCTTTCCCTCCTTTTTTACGATAATGTATTGTAACCTCAGTTGATCACTCAGTAATCAGTCAGTGACTACTGAGTGATTTAATCCAGTACTATTTCCTCCATAAAGCAGTCTTTATGATGGCAGGTACTTCTAGATGAACTAGCCACTACTGGTTGACATCTCTGTAAGCACTGCAACAGATTTTTGTACACGGGTATTAAAAATTGCACACGACCACTATAACATCCAGCTTTTTGGCATTAGGCAACTGCAAATGTGAAGAGAATCAGGCTAATGCCATATCTTTGATTTTTTTTTCTTTCATGAATAATTTTCTTTAGTTAACCTAATCTACAACTGCCAACACTTGCAGGTGCATCTGTGCAAGCGAGAAGAGAACAAAAGACATCTCTTTTTGTTTTGCGGCTTTGTGGATTTTTTCATCAGACTACGTATACTATATACACAAGCACCTGCAATATGTGTATCAGTTGTTGTACCTGTACCTAACTAAGCTTCCAGGCTTTGCCTCCTTTCATGCTGAACTTCTTAAGCCTCCCAAAGAACATCACAACAATGAGTATGAGTTTGCCGGAGTCGCTCCACCTCCCGGCAAAACCAGTCCATCTGTCTGTACAGACTCCATCTGGATTGATCTGCCTGCTGCAGCTGTAGCCCATTGAGAAACCAACATTTCCATAAGCACTGCATGCAGAACGTAGCCAAGACATGTCAGATCAAAGGTAGCAAACCTTCCAAGAAACAGAACACAAATGTGAATTCGTTTCAGTCTCCATTCTAGTTAGGCATGTGGCATTTACACATATATTGTCGATTTGTTTTATATGCATGGGAATTTTTTTTCTCCTTGAACTACTCTTACCTGACGACTTCGACAACAATGCTGAGCACGTTGAAGTTCAGGGGATCTTCTTTGAGCTTTCTCCTCTCGGTGATGCAGATGGCGATCACAAAGATGGTCAAGTAGGAGAGTTGTGACAAGACTGTGCTCTTGAGCAGCCTTATTCCTTGACTCTCCGTGGAATGATGACCCCTCTTGGAATTCTCTTCAAATGGAAACCATGTCGTGTATGGAGGAAGATACCTAGTAGAAGTAAAAAAACAAGCAGATTTGAGATGAGAAACACTGGACAAACAAAACATCACCTCCTATTTACCATTTTTACTTAAGGTTACAGTACATGACCGGCAATTTTTTTTATTGTTGGTCAGATGGTACAGGTCAGACTGCTTTACGCAAATTGAAGGCCATGATCTACAATAACTGCCTTCATTTTCAATATCTGCTCATGCCAGGCTAGAGTCCATCCACTTCATCTAGAGAATTCAGGAAGTTTTTATGTGAATTATTCTGTCCTGATGTTCTTGACCCATATGGGATCCGATCCTCTTGGTATGCGGGCAAGGTCAGCTGTGCTCTTTAGCTACTTTGCCTGTCTGCAAAACTAGATATTAGTGATTGGCTTGGCTTCAAAGAGCCCAATTTGGACAAAACTACCCAAACCAATCGTGGTGCACGCCCGATCCATAAAACTGATAAGAGTCTCTGTTGGATGCTGTCATTCGTAAATGGTAGGCTCCCATTTTCACCGGAAAAGAAAAGGTGGTCTTCCTGCCACCTGAGTTTGCTTGGGATAAAACTGATAAGAGTCTCTGTTGGATGCTGTCATTCGTAAATGGTAGGCTTCCATTTCACGGGAAATTTAAAGAAAAGGTGGTCTTCCTACCACCAGGCCGGATTTGCTTGGGAATTGGAACGCCACAGCATATTCTCGGAAGCAGCTGAACGAAGGTAGCATGTGGAGGTAGCATGCCTTTTTTGACCTGGAAGCTATCAATCAACATCTTGAATTCTTGATTCTCTGGTTGTCTCGACTGAATTTGAATGTTGCTTTGTGCTTACGTGAAGCTCACCGGCCGCTCTTCATTTCCGGTCCAATATTGGGTGCTTGCGGAAAAAAAAAACTTTTTTTTACGTGTTTTTTCGCTGACTCTTCCATTTTTTCTAGTTATTTTGCTCTATTATTGGCAGAACGGTGAAGCCGAGGAGGTAACCCATGCCCTTGGATGAATATAAGAAATTGTGCCGTCACCTACCTAAGACGGAAACCTAAGTACCTGCCTATTTGTCCCTTAAAAAAAGCAGCAATGATTCATGAGTTGAAAATTCGGTCCCGGTGCTTGTCCCGTAGCACGGAGAAGATTCCCAAGGATCGCAGATTACCATTACTTAGTTTATTAGGCTTCACAGGCAAGTGAACATGCATCACAACTTTTAGTTTCATAATAATCGTTCTGCTTTATATTGCATCGTGCATAATGATATATGAGCTACGTACTTCACTGTGTTCAATGATACTACAGGCTAAGAGCATTTTGCAGTTTCGGACAGATGGAACTAGCTTTGTGTAATTAATTTTTATTTTATTTATATTTATGCTCATGCATGCGTCCAAAAGTGATATGCAAATTTTGCATGCAACGATTGCTTCAATGGTGCAAAGTACATGTTCGCAGTCAGGGGAGACTGCCTCGATCGTGAGCTCCATCATAACGAGGACTGGAGAGCACGAGGATGGCGCGTCGCGCCGTGCAGTGTGGACTCAGGTCATGAGGACGGTGGACGAGGATGGCCGTCGCCAGTGTGGAGAGGTCAAGGGTGGACTCGCCGGTGTGCCGAGAGTTCACGGCGAGGAACAGCGCGTTGGACAGCTTCTCCCCCGCGCTCAGCCCCCGCAGCGCGCCGCCCCACTCCATCGCGCACACCAGCGCCACCTGCACAGCGATGAAGAACGCCACCGTCCCGGCGAGCATCCAGCACCGCCGCGCCGGGAGCAGGTGGTAGTACCCCGTCGCCTCCCTGCCCTTCCTGACGATCTCCGCGATCTCCTCCCGCCGCGTGGCCGCGGCCGCCGCCCACACGCACGCGGCCAGCAGCGGCGGGAACAGCGTGTTGCCCACCAGCGCCTGCGGCACGAGCAGAAGCTGCAGCGGCACGTCCCGGCTGAACACCATCATGTTCTCGTTCGTCGGCATGAACCCGCAGCTGGAGAACGTGGACACCGTCGTGAACACCGAGAAGGTCCACACGTTCAGGGCCTTGCGCCGCAGCGTCTGCCTCGCGCCGGGCGCGGCGTAGACGTATGCCGCGACGGCGACGGCGCCCACCGCGTGCACCACCACGAGGATGGCCAGGACGATGTAGAACAGCGAGCGCACCGCATTGCGCCGCAGAATCTTCGCGTCTACTGGGATGTCTTCGTTCTCTTCGGTGACCGTAGTAGTTATCGACCTCGAGTCGGCGTCGGAGTCGGCGTCATCGGCCTCGGCGCCGGTGGTCTCGAGCTCGATATCGTCGTCGTGGCTCTCGACGCGCCGGGATCTGTTTATGATCTGCTTCCTCATCTTGGAAAATTTGGATGCGAGGCCCACGAGCGACAGGAACACCTCGCCGCCGCCGAACATGAGAGCTGTGAGCACCAGGAGCTGGCCGTTGGAGAACACCTCCATCTCGACGGCGGACATGCTGGACACCGTCGCGGCCGACACGGCGGTGTAGAACATGTCGATGCCGCGGGGTCTCCTGCCGGACGCCCGAACCTTGAGCGCCTCGAGGAGCCCCCACCCGACGCAGGAGATGGCGACGAAGTAGACGACGTGGACGAGGAGCGAGTTGAGGCGCGCGGCAACGTCGACGGCGCGGCGCCACGCCTGGCCCGCGCTGCACCGGAGCGTGCGCCGCGACCGTGCCACGCGGTCCGTGACCTGGTGGTGCTCGTAGGCCTTGAAGACCGAGCACACGAGGGACATTGCGCTGTCGAGCACCGCCGCCGAGCACCGGCGCAGGTGCTGCAGGAACCCGGCGAGCTTATGCGCTCCGGTTGCCATTGTAGCGCTGGCGCTGTTATGTGGGACTCGCCGAGCTATGTGCATGTGCATGCGCGTTCTGTGCGTGCCTTGGGTGCCTTCGACACACACCTGCACCTGTATATATATACAAGTGATGCGGACAGCACTGGATGCGGAGGGCATCAACGTAACCTCCGCTTCTAGTTGCAACACGTGGATAGTATTTGTGTGCTCAACTTGCCTCCCCCTGCTATAAAGAAATTCACAACTGAGAGATGAACTAGGCCCCGTTTGGATTCCCGTGACTAAAATTTAACTACTAAAACTAATTACTAAAGTTTAGTCAGCTCTGTTTGGTTCTAGTGATTAAAAGTGACTAAAGGTCATTAAACCACTTCAACAAAGACCAAACTATCCCTAATAAATGCACAAATCAGGGTGGGGCTAACAATAATGAAGGACAACCTCTGTCCACTGAGCACTTTAGCCCACTTTAGCACCTCCTTGGGTACTAATGTGACTAAACTATTTTAGTCCCTTCTTAGTGAGTTTATTTGACAGTTTAGTAGTGATTAGTAGCTAAACTTTAGGGAAAACCAAACACCACCTGTAGTGAAAAATACCATCCCACTTGTACTATCCCCACCCCCTCCTTTTTTGGAAAAAAAAAGACTTCCAGAAGCCACAAGTGAGATGAGAATATTCATGCTGCACCAAACAGTATGAATGAAACTCTTCTAATATACTCTCTCTGTCCTAAAATAAGTGACGCTATAGGATGCGTGCGGGACAAACTTTCTCAACTTTAAATAGGTTTGTAGAAAATATTAGCAATATTTATATGTCCAAATAAGTTTATTACGAAAATATGTTCAATGATTCGTCTAATAATACTAATTATGCACCATAAAGATTAATATTTTTCTTATATATGTTTGGTCAAAGTTAAAAAAGTTTGACTTTTCAAAAAATGAGAATGACGCTTATTTTAGGACGGAGGGAGTAAGTCTTCGTATTTAGAGTAATATATTTTTACATAGGTATTTACAGTCCAAGCGCCATATTAAAAACCATGTTGATGTTGTACCAGGCTTATTATGGATATGTTTGGTTCAGTCATGAGTTGTGAAAAAGCTAATGTGAGATATAAGATATGGAAAAACTGTTGTGAGCTATGTTGTGCTATAAAAAAATTATAAAGCGTTTGGTTAAAATAACTATAAAACTTATCTCTCTTTATCTTCCTTAAGCAGTAAAGAGTCACTTTATTTCTACCTATTTAGAAAAGCAGAAAGTTGAAAGTCAAAAGTAGGATTAAGGTGCTAAAAAAATTATATTACACAAAAATAGTCTGGGGCGGAGTCAAGAAGTTAATTTTTTTAATGTTAGAGGGGCCAGCAATGTTAAATTTTCAAAATTTATTTGAATCTCAAAAAATTCAGTGGAGATTTAGGGGGCCTTTCTGTTTTATCAGTTTGGTTAGTGTTGTGCTTTTGACAGCTAAAATACAGCCTGTATCTTGGATCAAAGCAAAGTATATACCCATCGATCACGTTACATCCATCGTTTTTGTCAGTGCAGGAATTAAAGGCAGTCACTCTTACACAGTAACAGTGATGGATTATCATGAAAATAGCTAGGCCACACTACTAACTAGCTCCGTTGAATAAGGAGATGATGTGCACGTTGATATCTTCTGTGTTCTGTCTATGAGGTGAGGGCGTGCATTAATTTGGTACTACAACAAACAACTGTGGCTGAAGCCGTAGTTCTGGTCAAAGTATATTCCACTATACGATTCACATTCACATTTACCACTGGTTTTTAATCGCCGTGCGCTACACTTCGATCTATCAAACACGTGGCATTCAACAAGAAGTTCGGTTTCATACTTCAGCCTCCATGTGAATTGTGCGGAATATTTTTTAGCACCTCGGCGACTATGCTGTGGTAATAATCGAACCAGCGTGTGGTCATCATATGCACTCCCCATTTCAAAATATAATAAGTCGTGGCTTGACCCAAAACGGTCTTTACAGTTATACTTTAGAGATGTATTTCTGGCAACAAAATCATGATCACACATGATATATAGCGCTTTCAAATATAAATCCAATTATATATAGCTCTTGATTGTACGACAAAGTTTGCACCTTATATGACTAATTATAATACTGTAGTAGTTGAAAAGTGCCAGGTTTGAAAATTGCTAAAGTGCAGAGGCGCTTTATAAACTAAAAAAAAATGGCGGGAGTACCATTACCATGTGTATCCTCGTTTAAAATGCATGCGTGCATTTTTAGCAGTTTGCTTTATTTGTTCTCTAGTCTCTATTTATCTGCCCCTCAGCATGTGTATATATAGTCAAACCTTGACAACACAGGGTTATAAAATGTGATTGTTGGTACGGTTAACCACCATTCTAGAGTTTTTTTTTGCTTGTTTGTCAGAACACGCATTCTGCACTTTTGTTCCCTTGCAGCTCGCAAGAACCAACATGGAAGAAGGGAAGCAGTGGCAGTACGCGCCGTCGGAAGCTTGGAAACACGTGACCTAATTGGCGCCTTGAGCTGAGCATCCTTTGCCTTTGGGGCTCCATTCCCGCCGTGCTGGGTCCGCCGCTGCATGGAAGGGTCCGCCGTGCTGGGTCCGCCGATCGCAGCAAAGAACGAAACAATGTAATTATTGACCCGGCGTAGAAACACCTTTTGTTTAATTTCTTGCAGGGCAGGCAGGAGGGAGTTCCCATGCACGTGGCTGTCGCTTACACATTCCTCGTTCGGCTTACCTTAAATCCGGCTTATTCGGATCTTTTTTTAGTCAGAACAGTATTTTTCTCTCATAACATTTCAGCCAGAACAGTGTTTTCAGCCAAGTTTCAGCAAGCCGAACGAGGTCATTTCTCTTTTGACTATGGTATAAATTAGTCCATCGACACGTATTTTTATATGGACTATTTTTTTAAAAAAAAATATTCCCTCCGTCTCAAAAAAAAAAACTGTTATTTTAGGAATGAATTTAGACCAAGTGCTTGTCCAGATTCATTCGTAAAACAACAGTCTTTTCGGGACGGAGGGAATAAGCAATGGAAAATCATACTTAATACCTAAAAAGTAAATATCTTTCCATGCTCTCTCTCTATAGGTGTTTATTTTTTTTTAATACAAATCTACATATAGATATTGTCGACGTTTTCTGCCACCAATTAGTAAATTTGTAGTCGCGCGTTGGCTTTGATGATGGCTAAATACTTAGAGACTCAGATATTATGCTAGTTCAACCAATTATGTCCTACATCTACTTGGGGTGTTCCTTCGCGTTCCTGAACAAAAGGTTCAAAGTTTGCAAGAGGGTTACAAACAGGATGAGAGTCAGAGCTAGAGAGCTAAGGAATTGAGGGAATCAAAGTGCAAAGAAGTGAAGGATGCCTCTGCCTCATCTTATATAGCCGAGGGGCAAGGTTAAAAAAGTGGTGGATCCCACATGTCGCTCACACATCGGTAGGACCCTCTGCCGACGTATCATGTTATCTTCCTCTGCCATTGTTCGTTATCCCACCTTGGCCCATGGTGTTGGACGTGGAAGGGGCACCGTGCTAGCCCATATCGTAGTTAGTGGAATAACGCCACCGTAGTTGCTGGTAAGGCTTGTCCCATCCCCTGCTCTACACAAGGTGTTGTGGTACAAGGCATGTTGCACCTTGATCTCTGAACCATAGTGCCATGGAGCATGGGGGTCCCATCCTAGGCATTAGTATGTTGTATGGTATTTTGGTATTTTGACCCTTGCTCCCGAAGGGCCTGAGTGTGCCTCACAGCCCCATTCAGGTGGGCTCCTCTACGAGTCACGAGCAGTGTAGGTTTACTCGGCGTTAGTTGGACCCCCCCCCCGACTTGGTGCCGGGGGTTGGGAAAATTAAAGTTTCATCCCTGCTCAGAGGGTTGTACATCAGGCGAGCTCAGGACACTTCTCCATTAGTTAGTGGGGCTCGTGCTTTCGAGTTCAAACCCATCAGTGGCACATGTGCGCACCCAATGTGTAGCCCTCGAGTCCCTTACCGACTGGACATACTTGGTTGGGGTTGATGCATCGTTGCCCGGTTGGTGTGGGTACATGCGATACAAGTACTTGTCAGTAGCCTCTGAGCCTCCGTGCTATTTGGAGAATAGCAGAAAGGTTCCAATGTAGTCAGGGTGTCTCTCTATTCTTCAGAGCATAAGAGTACTAGCCTATTTTATTAAGGATAGTAGTACATGAGGAATTAAATATTAGAATCCTAATTGATTTACTATTACGTTCATGACTCGAACTCACGATCGATGCTCATATGAGTTAGAATAGTCCCCGTACAACCACGATATAGATCCTGATTCCATGCTCACAATTATGTTGCAACGCATGGTGCTAGTTATAGAAAAATTTTGACACCTAGAACTCCTCCACAACGAATTGTCCCCGGCGCGGTAACCTAGCCTAGACCAACACACAAGAGGGGGCTTCATCCAACCTGCCACCACCAGCAGATGGGTATAACTTGAACATATTTGATGACTCCCTTATTGCTCGAGTACATTATTGGACAAACTTAATTGAGGATAGTTACATACTAACTACATCATCATATACCAAGTATCATGAACCCACTCACAATGCATAAAAGGCTTAAAATATGTATGATGCAAGTATTGACTAATTAAGCAAGGACGGAGGGTGAATGGATTTTTTTTAGAACAAGGGTGAATGAAAATTAAGGTGAGGCTAATTTCAAAAGTGGCTACTGTAGCTATTAACCGTACAAGCTAAAAAACAGGTGAGAATCTAAACACCAAGCATTGATTCCCATGATCCATCTTTTCTCCTTGGCGGGGCGTGCGTCTCTTCCCCATGCTCTCTTTTCTCCTTTCCCTGTGGTCTATAACCGTTATTGCCTTTTCTCCTTTCCCTGCATAGAATTCATAGGCCACTCTTCTTTTTTCATTAGAGACAGGGGGTGAACGGCCAAATTCGGAGCCGGATCCAGCTAGAGCTCCACCAGACAT